ACACCCCTGCCCTATACCATTGCAGAGAGGGGGCTGTCCAGTCTCTTCTTAAAAGCCTCCAGTGATGGAGCATTCACTACTTCTGAAGGCAAGCCGTTCCACTTATTAGTTGTTCTATTTGTCAGGAAATCCCTCCTTAGCCCTAAATTGCTTCTCCTCTTGATTAGTTTCTATTCATTGTTTATTGTCCTGCCTTCTGATGCTTTGGAAAATAGGTTGACCTCCTCTTCTTTGTGGATATTGGAAAACTTCCCTTAGATATTGGAACACTGATATCATGTTACCCCTAATTTTTAGCATAGACATACTCAATTCCTGCAACTGTTCTTAATATGTTTTAGCCTCCAGTCCTAAGAAAGCCCACTAAGGTAGATAGTGGGTATTTATGGAGGAAGTCTTGAAGCTGGTGCAATAATTTATCACAATCATGAAAACTATGAGCCAAACCCAGTGTCAAGCCCGAAATTGACATAAGCGTAGCCATTTTAGTTAGTCTTAGTATATATTCTTTTTCTTACTTTCTCTGTGGTAGTCATGGGGGGAAGGGTTTCGGGCTTGATACATTTCTAAGGGGGGAGGAGTGGAGATAAAGAGAGTTGTTTTGGCTAGGTGATTCTTCTTTCCGTGGAAACATGAGCTGTCCGTGCTTAGGCCCCTTGAGGCGGAGATTTATGACATCAAGCAGCGTTGAATTACTTCTATTGGAGAATATGACTTTTGGGGGTTGTTTCTAACTTGTAATATTGTGGGGTAATTCCAGGTTGTGTCAGATCCAGAATTACCATGGACTTGGTCAATTTGATGCTTTCCTGAATAAAAGAAATGTTTTTGGAAGGTGGACTTTGTACTTTTCTTTTTAAATGGATTTCATCACTTGGAAACCTGATACCCAGAAAATCATGGATCTGACCAATTTGGATCTTGGCTTTTGCCTTGGGAAGTGACTACATGATTAGGATGTTGCCACTTGTCCCTTATCACTTTGGAGTTTTCCCTAACATCCTTTCTCAGCAGGGAGGCTGAGGCTCTTGAATGAGCTCATTCCAGGGACTTAATTGGTTTGAGAGGAAGTTTATGTTTTTTCCGGATATTTTGATAAATATTTTCATTGACACCTCAGTTACCATTTGGAATGATGTGGTGGCAGTAAAATCTCTGAGGGAGATAGACAGTTGAGAAATACAAAATATAAACAAACAAAATTTTAGGTTGGATTCCAAGTATACAGAAACTCTACATGCAGACCTTTGGCATGTTGTGGAATTTCCCAAAGATGCTTTTCAAAAGATAACTGGGTTTTCTTTCACTTCCTTTCTTTATTTCTTCAAAAGGCAACTGGACTTCAAGAAAGCTTTGAAAAAAGCACCTTTGGGACAACCATCACCTGGATAATTGAGATTTTCTATATATATTTGTTGTGGTGTGCAGATAAAGAGGATAAAGCAACAGAAGAGACACCTAAACCCAACTGAGAGAAAACAAGAATGAATCTAACCAGACATAGATAAAAGCTTTTGTTAGAGCCTACCACATAGTGATAAGGGTAGCAAAAAAGATTTATTTCTCCACCCTTCTCTTCGGCATATTGGCCAATAGCCCTGTGCAGGGCAATCTAGACCCTTCTAGACCCTGGAGCATCTGCAAAACTACTGTGAGAGCTATTCGAATCACCCGGTGGATAACATTGCTCAGATTCACTGTGAGTTGGCCTTCGGCTAGACAAGTCCTGCATAGGTGGTGGAAGCAGTCTTGTGATGTTATCAGGAGGAGTTTGAGTCTGTTAGTCCTGAGAAAATGGACCTGGTCCTTGTAGCTGTGGCTGACTGTGTATTAACCTCAATGCTCTTCCTGATTGCTTGAGACCTCTGGGGATGCAGCATGTGCACCAGAGGTGGTCTTCAGCAGGTTCTGACCAGTTCTGGAGAACTGGTAGCAGAAATTTTGAGTAATTCAGAGAACCGGCAAATACCAACTCTGACTGGAGATTTTACAATATCCTTCCCCTGCCATGCCCACCAAGCCACACCCACAGATCCGGTAGTAAAATAAATTGAATCCCACCACTGATGTGCAGGGATAAATATGTCTTTGAGAAGTGAGATTGTTCCACTGGCTTTGAAAAAAAAAGTAGTGGTGTACCTCTTCTTCAAATGACTAGTCTTGGATCCAGTTGACCTGGACAACTTTCATCCAGTCTCCAACCACAGGTTCAGAAAACGTAAACGTTAGCTCATACTCAAATTCTGTCTAGAATAGCTCCCCACTGCATGTTCAATCCACATTAGAGCAGCTGGTTAGGATTGTGTCAATCATTTAAAACAGGATTTCTCACTCAGCAACTTTAAGGTGTATCAGCATATGAATCAGCATATGAACCAAAACCTTTTGACAAAAATGTCAAAAGTATGGGATGCAGAAGGTCTCAGAAATGCTCAGAAATCCCCAGTCAGCCCATTCTTGCTGGGGAATTCTGGGCATTGAAGTCCATACACCTTAAATTTGCTTAGATTGAAAAATACTGGGTTAGAGGAATGCTTTGCAAGGCGGAGAAATGGCTCATTCCTTTCTCCCTCTATTCAGCATGATTCAGCATGATTAATTAATAATAAACAGCCGATTCAACAAGAGAGACCTCTTAGAACAGCAGAAATGTAATGCTTTGCCTTAATGGTTTGAGGATAACTGTAGTGAAGCCCTCTCATCAATTCAGGTAGGTCCTCTCCAAACCCCCTTGAATCAGCATATGAACCAAAACCTTTTGACAAAAATGTCAAAAGTATGGGATGCAGAAGGTCTTGACTGGCACACGTAGCTCCTTACCTTCCTGTCACACAACGCTTCAACCTGAACGCCTGATGGACTTACCCTTTTTTGTAGTCCTTTGGAAGATCTTGGCATTCTCCCCAGTGGTGAAGAATTTGAAATAAGAACAATTAGCTTCTGAAAAGAAAAAAAGCATTTAACTCGTTTATCATTAAGTTATACCACAGGTAATCCTTGACTTATGACCATTTGTTTAATCACTGTTCAAAATGATGATGGTGCTGGAAGAAGTGACTTACAACCAGTCCTTGCACTTCCAACTATCACATATCCCTCTGGTCATGTTTCTGTGGTCACGGGATCAAAACTTACATACATAAATACATGATGGTCGTAGTGCTCTGAATCACAAGATCATCATTTGTGCTTACCAAATGGGCTTCTGTCAAGCACAATCAATGGGGGGAGCTAGATTTGCTTAACAACCACGTAAAAATGTCTTAAAATCAGGTACAATTCATTTAACAACTGTAAACAATTAACCAGATTGCCCTCAGAAGTTATAAGTGTTTCATCACTGGAGGTTTTTAAGAAAAGACTGGACAGCCACCTTTCTGAAATAGTTTAGGATCTCCTGCTTGAGCAGGGGGCTGGACTAGAAGACCTCCAAGGTCCCTTCCAGCTCTATTCTGTTTGATTGATGGTATCCCTTGGCAATGGACGGTTGGACAGTTCCAACTATAGTAATAAGTCAAGGAAACTTACTATATTCCTCCTCCTCCTAATTTCTTCAAATTATCTCAAACAAAATTCATTTCTCATAAATCTCTCAATATTTCCTCCACTTTAGGTACTAAAACAATAAAACAAAACCTAGTCCAAAAAAGGACATTATGTTTTTTTCTTTCTTTCCAAATACTGGCTATATAGATCAGTTCTAGCAATGAAACTTGAAAATTGCCATGAATTTAAGAAAATCCTCGTAGGACGAGCCCTTTTACTTTATCTGTGGACACATTTTGCCATGCCATATAGACTACTATAAATTTCCCTCTGTAATCCTCTTTCAGAGTAATTCCTATCACCTGCCCAGTTTCAGAAACAGCCACAACTCAGATCTTTCTATTGGACTATACTGGCGACTGTTTCTGACATCAAATTTCTCCTCTGAAATAAAATCTCTTTCTCAGAGACCACAGAATTTCTGCCCTTGTTACTATTAATAATTTAATTACCTACACATAACTATTTTTGTATGCCTTTCATGCCAAATAAACATTGGTATACATCTTTGCCAAATATTCATGATAGAAGCGTTAAATATCAAACATAAACTGATAAATTAAAACAATGCACAAGCTTACAAACATGTTTTAATTGAAGCCCTTTTAAGATAGGATGAAGGAAGGTTGTATATTAGATAATAACTTGATTAAGTTTATTTTTATAAGACCATTTAAGTTTTGTATGTAATCACATGTACTTTTGTGGCATTTTAACAAACATTTCATGATAGGAAATATTTTTTATATCAAATTCCAGATTATAATTTAGATGCAGCAAAGATTGAAGCAAAGAACGATGGTTGAGAAATTTTAACTTGTCGTTATTTAAGCTATTTAATCATGAATACTCTCATTCACTGCAATGACTGTATCTTAGGATATTTAAATTTAGTAGCTGGAACAGTAAAGTGTATAATGGGCCAGAACCTACAGTTGTAGGTGATTGGTTGGAGAGTGCGGGCTCCTGCATGAGGCAATCTATGCTATGATTGGTTGCTGTGGGTTGTAAAGGGAGAGTTTCCTTTCCCGCTGCCTTTTTTATTCTATGTGCTCTGTATGCTGTGATTTACCTCATGATTTACCTCATGAGTAATTTACCCCATGTGATTTACCTCATGATGCTATAGAGTTACTACACACCAGAACAACTAGACATAAGAACAGTTTTTTTATCAAATGCCATCACTCTGCTAACAAATAACTCCCTCAACACTGTCAAACTATTTGCTATGACTGCATTACTCTTACTATTATTATTAATCCTCCCATCCTTCCTTTCACCCATCTCCTCCCACTTATGACTGTATGACTGTAACCTTGTTGCTTGTATCCTAACGATTTTTATTGACTGTTTCCTAGTATGATTTGATTGCTTGTTGTACCCTATGACTATTATTAAGTGTTGTACCTGATGATTCTTGACTCTCGACGAATGTATCTTTTCTTTTATGTATACAGAGAGCATTTGCACCAAGACAAATTCCTTGTGTGTCCAATCACACTTGGCCAATAAAGAATTCTATCTTTCTATCTATGATGTCATTGTGTTCCTGATTGTTGTAAATATAGATATTAAATATATTTATTTAATAAATATATTAAAAAGACAAGTTTGTGTCAGCATCTCTGATTTCATTTGGACGCTTGCTAAGCATTTCCTTGACACTGTAAAACTGAAAATATGCATTTCTTGATTTCATGAAACATCTGTCTAAAATTTATACATTGAAAAATAAAGAAAATGGACCTGTCTAATTTTATATTGAGTGCTTTTTCATCATATAAAGCAAAGTACATCTTTGGTCAAAATCAGTTTAGTTGCTTATAGATCATTAAGAGTTTATAAGGTAAATTAAAGGATTTTGGATCAGGATTAAAAGGGCAAAGAGTACAATTAATTAGGTGTATTGATAGCTGAATACAGCGGTGAAATAGATGTATAGATAATCCTCAACTTACAACCACAATTGGGACCAGCGTTTCCATTGCTAAGCAAGATGGTTGTTAAGTGAGTTGTGACTGATTTATGGCCTTTTTTGTCATGGTTGTTAAGCAAATCATTTTACAGATTAACAGAGTTGGAAGGAACCTTATAGGTCATCTAGTCCAACCCTCCCGACCAAGCAGGAGACCCTACACCATTTCTGACAAATGGCAGTCCAGTCTCTTCTTGAAAACCTCCAGTGATGAAGCTCCCACAACTTCCGAAGGCAAGCTGTTCCTTTGGTTAATTGTTCTCACTGTTATGAAGTTTCTCCTTATTTCCAGGTTGAATCTCTTCTTGATCAGTTTCTATCCATTATTCCTTGTCTGGCCTTCAGGTGCCTTGGAAAATAGCTTGATCCCCACACAGTCATTAAATAAATCTGGTTTCCCCCATTGACTTCAGTGTCATTGTAACTAATCTTAACTCATATGAGTTATAGTCCAAAATGTTTTGATAGCACCATGTTGGAGAAAACTTGCACATTGTACTTATATTATTTAATTATTTTAATGAAAGATTCCTGAAGTAACTTCTTGGCAATTTCCTCTTGAATTAATTACAATTATAGTTATTTTTTTCAATTTTGGGGAGACATTACTTAATAACAACAAAAAAAGAGGAAGAAAAGAGAACAAAACAACAAAACCTTTTTATGTGAGAATTCCTATGCATATGCACACAGATAATAAACCAATAATATCATTTTAATTTTACACAGTTTCAGTAAAGGATGAATGTAGTACTCTGTGGATTGAAGAACTGATGTATTTTGTGGATTATGAATGAGCTGCTTTCAGATGCAAATTATGTAAAGCGGTTGCAATTAAAATAACAACTGTAATCCTACTGTATTTCTGCTGGCACATGCTTTTTCCAAGTTGCCAACAATTTCTTACAGCATTCCCCTTTATACCATTATATATTATATAAAAAATGTTGCCTGCCAGATGTTTCTGCCACAAAAACCATGAAAAATGTGAAAAGAAAACACTTTTTTCTTTTTAAGCATTCTTTGGCTTTGTGGACTGACATGGCCACCAGTTTTTTTCCTGCATATCTGCAGTGCACCGACTGATATTTATTATATATATTAAATACAGTATGTAAGGCTACCAGTAGTAGAAAGGTTAAGAAACCCAGACAATGAGAATGAAGCTTCTGCAGTTGCTAATCTCTCTCTTTACATATGAACCAATTCATAAACTTTATTCAAGAGAGAGGCAATCTCTACAATTCGGCAGCTGAAGTGGAGGGTTCAGAGCCCTTTTCCCCTAAGATATTCTTTATGATTCATGCCTTAAGCCTTGTCTTTTCCAAGTTTTTTTTTTTTTTTGCATGACCCAGTGGAGTGGATTTAATTGTGTCCCCAAAGGAAAGCTTGAGCAATAGCTGCATCTTTTTGAATTGGAGAAATTCCAAGTAGCTGCAGGGCACAAGTCCTGTGGTACAGAGGTACAGAGCAGAAAGGTACAGAGCAGAAAGACAGAAAGAAGATTGCACTATGATTTAAAATTACATTTCCCAAAGCAGAATTCCTTGCCCAACCCATCAGATTTTTGCCCAATGCAAAAATTATTTTTATGGGCCTGGATTGGTGAGAAAAGATACCCCCCTTTACACAGAATTGTAAATTAGGAGCTGGCTGGCTGGAGACAATGCATTTGCAACATAGCAAGACTTGATAGCAAGGAAGTTTAACTCAGGAGGAAGTAGAGACTTGAGAAAAGGTTTATGCCATGATAGGACTGCCAGCAGGGACGGCATAAAAAAAGTCATGATGGCAGCAACAGCCATGCAGTTAAAGCCCTGCCACCTTTTTACCCACATCAGGATTTTTGATCTGCATGTTTATGCCATCATCCTCTTGACTGTGTATTCACCCCTCCCTGAAGAAACCCCTGAAAAAGGCATCCATTTTTACACAAGAGGAATTCTATGACAGACGTGTTAATTACAGGTAGTCATTAGATGTATTAATTACAGGTAGTCCTCAAATTACAACCACAATGGAGCCCAAATTTCTGTTTCTAAGTGAGACATTTGTTAAGAGAGTTTTGCCCCATCTTATGACCTTGTCATAGTTGTTAAGTGCAGTTATTAAGTTTGTTCTGCTTATTACGCTCTGGATGGATATAAAGCAGACAGAGCAACTCCACAAAGCATCCATACAAAGTCTTTTTTATTGATTCATCAGGCATCCTTATCAACTCACATTTATGATGAGGTTCTTTTTAATGTCCAATCCTTTGCATATCTGCACTATGGTGTAGAAAGATAATACAGTCTCATCCCCATGATGATTGGAGCAGCTGCATGGTATGGTGGATTCAGGCAAGAGTGAGGGAGCTTCCCCCAACCCAACAAGAGTCAATTTAGTGACTAATCAGGATTACAGATGTGACCAC